TGCAGACCCCCCTTAGCAGGTGCGACCCCCCCAGCAGGTGCACGTCCCCCCCAGCAGGTGCGTGCCCCCCTTGGCTTCTTGTTGTCCCTGGACACACAGCGGTGGTTACCTCCGCCTCTGGTGCCGCCGGGGGGGACGGGACCCCTGTGGACCCAGCTGACAGCCTCGGGGACAAGGCGAACCCAACGAAGGCATTGCATTAGCTTTGATTTTTATAAAACGGCCAGGAATTGCTGTGCAGGTGCACGTCCCCCCCAGCAGGTGCGTGCCCCCCTTGGCTTCTTGTTGTCCCTGGACACACAGCGGTGGTTACCTCCGCCTCTGGTGCCGCCGGGGGGGACGGGACCCCTGTGGACCCAGCTGACAGCCTCGGGGACAAGGCGAACCCAACGAAGGCATTGCATTAGCTTTGATTTTTATAAAACGGCCAGGAATTGCTGTATTAAGAAAACTTCAGGGAGAACATGAGCAAGAACAGGTTCATCTTAACGCAGTCGAGAGGAGTTGAAATTTTGTAGGTGTCTAACATTAACACATTTAAGGACGTTTATTACGTCTCTTGCAGAATCTTCTGCAGTAAGCTGGTGGAGTTCGAGGAAGATCGCGTTTCATTCTAAAGCCCATTTCGTGGCGGTGTCGATCCAGGAATGCTCTTAGTAAACCAGGTCTCAGGGCGCAGTGACGGCGTAGCGCTGTTGGACGGCGTGGCACTGGGTGACGGCTGCCGCCCTGAGCTTCGGCCGAGAACAGGGAGTGCTGCTCCCAGGAGCCGGTGGTATTTACTCAGACGTTTCCTGTAGCTTCCAGTCCTGCTGGCGGTCACTGTGCTGGTCGTGCGTAAAGGGAGCCTGCACTAGTGTTTTGATTTTCTACCCCTGAGTTAGATCTGCGTTCAGATCCCCAGCTTCCTCTCTTCCTTTGGCCGGGGACCGTAAAATACCAGGAAAGCCTGTCCCAGAGATCACGTGCACACTGTGGTGGGCGTAACAGAGTGTTCCGGGGGGACCCCACCTGCCAATCAGTGCGCCTTCGCCCCCTGAAGGGCACGCTGTCTTCACTCGCACCAGAGATTAGTGTGGCTGACCTTTGAACTTCGGGCACACGGGACATGCAGTATGCAGTCTTTCTCTCGTTCACCATCATGTTTAGGAGGTTCGTCCGCATTGCTCATGTTCATTGCTGCATAGTATTCCACTGCAGGCAGAGACCACGCCTTCCCCCTTCTGGTGGTGGACATTGGTTTTGACCCCACAATCTGACCATTAGAAACATGCTCTGATATGTCATGTGTGTGTTCCCCTGCGGGAGTTTAGTTTAGTTTAGTTTGTGATGTTAAGGAGACTTCCGAAGTGGGGTGCCAAGCTGTACTCCAAATGGTGTGTGAGAATTCCGCCTCCTTCCCTACGCTTGGTCCTTTTCATTTCAGCGCTTCTGGTGGGCTTGGTGCTGCTGAATTGTAATTCACAACTGTCCGCGAAGGAGTGGCGTTCAGCGCCGTGTTGTGCATTTATTGGCCATTTGGCCATTTTCTCTTTTCAGTCTTTGTGAAGGTTGAAGGCTGTGTGTTCAGTCTCTTGCCATTTTTCTACTGTCTTTTTTTGTTTGAAGGAGTTTTTAATCTATTCTAAATATAAGCTTTTAGCTTAGGTAGCATTTTCTGGAGTTTTGTGTAAATGGAATCAGTGTTTACTTTTTTGTCTGGCTTCTTTCAGTCTGAGTAATTATTTTGAGACTTATCCATATTGTTGCATGTATCAGCAGTTCATTGTTACCACTGAGGAATATTCCATTGTACGAATGGACTATTTGTTTATTTTTCTGTTGGAGGACAGGGAATTCACTAATAAGTGGTGAGCAAAGGGCCTAACCTTCTGGTCACCATGCTGCCGTCTGTGTGGATTCAAAGACCATAACCAACTGGTGACCACGCTGGACAGGCTCGTTCTAGCCTAAGCATCTGGTGACCACGCTGGTTAAAGAAAAACAAAATGAAAATGTGTTGAATGTGTTAAAGCTTGTTCTTCCCCAGTTCACAAACCTAGTCACACCGCTGCCCCCTCCCTGGTCACCCAGCTGTCCCCTCCCTGATCACCCAGCTGTCCCCTCCCTGATGACACCACTGTCCCCTCCCTGGTCACACCACTGTCCCCTCCCTGATCACCCAGCTGTCCCCTCCCTGGTCACCCAGCTGTCCCCTCCCTGCTCACACCGCTGTGCCCCCCC